ATGTTTTAAATACAAATATAATATAATATAAATATAAATATAAATAAAATATACAACAAAAATTTTAGCTACAAAGTAGAATAGATAAATCCATGTTGTTGTTACAAATAATATGCAATAAAATAATTAATTTTATTCAAAGAACTACTTATGAAAAAATATATATATATATATATATATATATTATCCATGTTATATGTTCTATGTTGTGTGTTCAATGTTGCAATATTTATTAGGGTCAAACATGCACCTGGCAAAATTCCATCACCCCTCATAGCTCATGCCTTGCCTCGCTACTGTTTGATTGTCCATTTCTTCTTATTAGGCAATATGCCTATTGCCCCTCTCCTCTCACAACTTATGCCTTGCATTCAATCGCACATTCACTTGTAGGAAAAAAAATGAGCCTTGTGGACTCCTTGTATCATTGATTGCTATGATAATGTAATGTCATTGATAAATCCATTGCCAAATGAATATGTGTTGTTGTCATAGAACTAAGACAATGTGATTTAACAATGAGGTCATATCAACACAAGTTGTAAAGTCTGCAATAATAGAGATGATCTAGCAACAAATATTGATTCTCCATCTTTACTATAAATTGATTGAATTTACAACACGCAACATACTTGAGCTTGAAAAATAATCCTATTAAAATAAAGTAAAACAAAATTTTGTTCTTATTGCACAATATGCCTATCATTTTTTTATTTTTTTTTACAACTTGTGCCTTGCATTCAATTGCACATTCATCTTTATCACATTTAGTTGTAAGAAAAAAAATGCGCCCTATGAATTCTTTGTGTCATTGATTGCTACGACAATATAATGTAGTTGATGATAATTAATGTTTTTAATATAATATTATTTATTATAATATTATTAATGATAAAGTAGATGAAGTTTCACTTCATTTAAAGTGTGATGAAATGAATTACTAATAAGACAATTCAATCCACCATGTTTGCATTGATGTTTGATTTGAACCAAAACAATCCAAAATGAAATTTTGCATGAGTCAAGGCAATATTTTAACCTTGTTACATGGTAGAATGCACAATTAAAAATTACAACAAACAACCCTCACATTCAAATTGAACATCCATCTCACTCCAAATATTACTTATCAATATATTTTCCTTACCTTGCACCCAAATAGAACATCAAAAATAAGTAATCATTGAGCTTATTCAATCAATTTCTAAGACCATTGAGCTAGAAACTACACAACACACAACAACCTATGTATTGGGCCATGCTTCATTGCCATTTGTATTGTCATTGGCATAATCAAAGATCATGGTTAGATGTGCACTTAGCAAAATTCCATCACTCCTTATAACTTGCACCTTGTCTCATTGGTGTTTCATTGCTCACTTTTCTCTAAATTATTGAACTTCACCTTCAATTGAATTTAGTAAAAAAAAGAAGAAAAAAAAAAAGACTTCAAACACATTTTCAATCACATCCAATTCTAAAACCACACAAAGAAAAGAAAAGAAAGAAAAAAAACCATATGAACTCGTTGTGAATTTCACTTGAGTTTTGGTCAAGCTTTTGCTTCCTATCAAACTCTAGACAATGTTAAGTTTTTTAATAAAAACTAAGAGGGGTACTTGCACTGAATGAGAGCCACCACTTATCTCCTTGAACAAATTTAATATATAGATTGTCTGTTATAATTTGCAACAACATTATTTTAGGAATTGCATTGAATGCATCAAAATCAACAAATAGTATACTAAAACTTATTATTAGCAATGATCATCTTTTAACCACAAAATTACAATGTTTTGTATTAGATTATAAAAATATTTTTTGTAGGTGTAAGTTCCATTCTAATTGCAGAATCTTACTAGAATGTGAGTAGACTTTAATTACCATTTTTGTCAAATTCCTTGTTGTTGTTAACAATGTGTGTATTAGTATAATGACATCTATTTTATTTTATTGTTGTTTAAGTCATAAGATCTTTGGCTCCACTTTGGCACATGGAAAATAAGCAAGAATGGAATATGTGCTTCCATATAATGACAATAAATGTACACATGGATGAATGTGTAATTTTTACCATTCATTGTCTTTGTTTGAGGCCTAGGCCAACCCAACCCTATTCCACCACTCCATTCGAACCTTGTAAGATGAATGGTTATGAAGCCTCTTTTGTGTGAAGTAGCACCATGACTTCTCCTCTCCTTCTCTCTTTTGTTGGGAATGAGAAGCCATGTCCCTAACAAACAAAGCCATATGGCATTTGTCTTTGCCAAGGGGATCCAATGATTCCTTGGGATGGGCTCATTGATGACAACAATGCTAATTTAGGCTTCATTTGACCACATGTTGCCAAGGAAAGTTTTAGGGCTTTTATAGAATGCTTGGCCACTTCAACACATCAGAGTGTTTTTCTTTCCTCTTCCTTTTTACTACTTCTTCAGTAAGAATCCAGCCATGCACAGGACAAGGCATGAATCTAGTGAAAAAGAGCTCCAAATTGCCTTTTGGGAACAAACCCATTTAAGGCCCCTAATGCCAAGTTCAATGAGTGAGTAATCATGCTTGCTAATCAAGTTCTGGTCCAATATTTGTGTGTGATCCCATCTTCTTTGCCTTGGTTCCCATTGCAATCCCATTATGCTGATTCTCTGGGTCAGGCAATTGAACAGAATAGCAAAAAACCCAAAAGGAGGGCAGAGATTCAAATATGAATACAAGGCTGAGTGTTAGTTTTACTCATTTAATATTTTAGGCAGATGTTGCTTTAGGGTGCTTGCCCTGAAGCCTGGAGAGATTTTCAGCAAGCAAGGGCCTACAGAATCAGGTTAGGTCAGGATAAGTTGGGGGCATGGGCCACCAGGTCCAGACATATTATGTGCTATGATACACTACTACTGCTAAATATCATCTGTTTGTTTGTCCATTAAAGGAGAAAAGGGGGAACTGCTGAGGGGATTGATCCCATTGGGATTTGTGAGGGGATTGGCAATGATTGGGCAGGGTGGGCGGGCAGCGCGGGCAGTGTGGAAGCTGCCAAAGGACACACAAGGCTCAGAGAAGAACTTTCTTTTTTACTTTTTTAATTTTTTAATTTTTAATTTTGTATTGTTTTGTTGTGAATTTGTTTTTTTATCTGTTTTTTTCAGTAGGGGACACTGGTGAGTCAGGTTCTCCTTTCAGTGAATGGGAGCAGCTGCACATGGGAGATGATTCCCATGCCAAACCATTCAGCCCAAGACGTGGGTGGTTTGGTGATGGGGTGAAACATGGGACAAAATGAATATTCTATTCTTTTTCTTTCCTTCAATCATACTTTTAAAAAATAACTGATTTTATTTTCTACAAAAGTTAATTTTAATAAAAATAAATCAAATAAATGAAATGCGAAGGAATCAAAACAAACCCAACTTGTCATGTGAACTACTTCTCAGCTGGGCATCTGCACACACTCATTGTTACAAAGAAAATAGCCTTTTTTCGGGATCAGCATTGTGATTGTGGGATTTCATGTCAACCTCTCATCTATCATCAAATTACAGCATCAAATAATGAGATTGTTTTTATTTATTTTTTATTTTATTTTATTTATTCAGTGTGTTACTAAACTTGTAAGCATATTTAATTATTGAATATATATGAGGTAGTGAAACCACATCATGCATTTATGGATTGAATCATGTGGTGACATAATACAACTCAGTTTATTAACAGAATTTTGACCAAATTGTTTATGCAGGGTTTGAGTCTTGCAACACAAGTTTATGCCCTTTTTGAAAACAAAAAATCTTGTCCAACAATGAGATTCAAATAAGATTCAAACAGTATACAAGTAGATGTAAATAAGAAAAAAGATTTGCTACAGTACACAGCTTAGATCATCTAGATTGCAATCTATGTGATGAAAACTTCATACAATAATATCTGTGTTAGAAACAACAGTGGGTTGGGCATTTGTTTTATCAATATAATTACCAGGTGTAAAAATGAGAGAAAAGGAAAAAAAGGAAAATGAAAAAGAAAAAGAAGTTGTTACGTCAATTTGTAAGATGTTAGATTATTCTCTTACATAGTAATAATTACTAAATGTAAGGTTATATACATGTATAAACACATACACATGTCTTTTATAGGTATACTCTATAACATTTATCAAGTTTTGAATATGGAATTGACAAAAAACTGTGAAAGTTTGAAATCCTAAGCAGCATGTTTTCTTTTACATGTTGTACATGATTGTTTGAAGTCTCATTTCTTAAAGTCTCAAGATCAATCATCCCCACTTTATGTTCTATGCAAGATAATTTTGTACCAAGAAGGCAAATTTTCACAATGGTTACTCAAATAAGATGGAATAAGAAAGAGAAGTCAATCTAAACAGGCACTCAACATCATGTAAATCCCAACATGTAATAAAAATGCCCATTTCCACAACCATTCAATTCTGGTTTTTCTAACATTTGTATTAAAAAGAGAACTTTGAAATGGAGTGGCCACTGCATGATGTTCCACCCCCTCACAAAATCACTATGTTAATGAATGAAAAGGGAAATGAGAGCGGCGTCAAGTGAAAATAACACGACGAGGGCCACAGAGTAAGAAAGTATAGTTGTGCAGTGCTGCAAGGGAGGGGAACGGCGAGGGGGGCAACGTTCCCTCACTTTTTCTCTGGCTGTGGCTGTGGCTGGGCTGGCAACGATGAAATGAGGTCATTGGAATCCAGATCATGAATAATGGGACCAAGGGAACGTGCTAATCGGAGAATCACGTCCCCACCGTGGGGAGCGAGGGAACCAGGGAGCGAGCCTGGGAGCGAGCCAGGGAGCCACGCCCACATACCAGCAACACTCTCTTACTGCTGCTACTACACCACCAACAACGACATTGTTATCCATCCCTGGCCCCGGTGATAGGGGGGAGGGGTAGGGGCCTCACCGTGGCCCCACCCTAACTTGGCCCTCGCTCGACCCGACCCGACCCGACCCGAGCCAAGGGAGAGGCACCAGAGCGACGAACGAACAAAAGAACGAACGAAGACATGGAGCGTGAGGAGGGAGAAGAAGAAGAGGAGGAAGTGGAGGAGGAGTAGCAATAGCAGTGGCGAGTTGTGAGTTGTTGCAGGGATCCGAGCTCTCTCCATTCCTGGACTGGACTGATTGGAAGCAAGCAAGCGCACAGAGCTCTACACGGTCTTATTGGATTGCTGGCGAAGGAAAGGAAACGAAAGGCAAGGAAAGGCAAGGAAGGAAACGAAAGGCAAGGAAAGGCAAGGAAGGAAAGGAAAGGCAAGGAAAGGGAAGGTACTGGAGGTAGCAGTTCGGTGCCGATGGAGCTCGCTTAGATTGAGCGCTGTTTTCCACCGATTTTGAGTTTGGTTGTTGCAGTTGTGATTTTTAGAGTTGGCAGAGTTTGTTTGTTTGGAGTGAGTGAGTGAGCGAGCGAGTGAGTGAATGAGTGAGTGTTAGAGACTTTTTATTTTTATTTTTTATCCTGGTGTTCAAAGCGTCATGTGGCCTGTAAGGAGTCCGTATTCGCAGTGGACCTCTGGATTCACGTGTTTTTAGCTGGGAGATGTTCTGGAGTTTTCTGGTAGGTTCGGTGATTTGCTTGGTCGTTTGACGACGATCTCGTGTGATGGCGATTCCGAGTTCGGAACATGATATGGGAGCCGAGGATGCAGGATGGATATTGGAACTAGATGTTTAGGAACTAGGTTTTATACCACTCCGTTTTTTTTTCCTTCCCCTCTTCGGAATGCTGGCCAGCGCTTCCGTAACATTGATTTCCTGAAGCGTATCGTGATGATTTGCAGGACTCGAAGCATTTGAGAAATCCACGATTTGGAAGAGAGCAGGTCCTATAGTTTCGTTTTTTTATCGCGGTGCTGCTCTCGGAAGGTTTATGAGTGGGTCCAATTTGGTATGATGCCTACATTCCTTGGCATCGCTCATCTCAAACGTCATTACGGTTCTTGACTTTCTGGAGAGATGCTGTCTGTGTCTCTGTTATTGAGGCTGAGTTGAGCGGCGTATTCTACTCCAACTTTTTTCGCGTCGTGGTTGGAAAGAGGTTTATGTCTGCCATCACTGTGTACTTCAGGGTTGGCTAAACGATATTAGAAGTCGCTTGTGCAGGTCTGGAATTGGTATTTGTGTTCTTGGTTGACCGGCCACTTACAATACATGGAGACCTTCCTGTAACACGCAATCGACGTTTTTTTTATGCTGTGAAATAAAGAAGCCTGGAGTATCGATCGCGTTGCGTTTTGTTCACGTCAGCATAAGCAATGGCGAAAGGGAAAAAGCTCATCAACGATCCCAATGGTAAGAGTAGAAGAGAATCAAAGCTTGATAGCGATTGGAACTCTGTTTTGCGTGGTTGATTCTTCATACGGCGTGGGGTCGATTGTAAACCACAAAATTCGGACTTTGAGTTTCTTTCGTCGTTGTCGTGACGAGAATTTGTTCATTTGGATGACGACCAATCAGGTAGTCCTTAGCCTCAAAATGTTTCCAATCGCTCTTCTTCGTCACCAAACTCTTCAAACAGTTTTCCCAATCGCTTTGCAACTTTGCATGTTATGTCACTCTGCACTTAAAGCTTTTCTGCTTCCAATCCTTTGTTATCTGTCTTTCGCGTTTGTTCGAGCCATTGCCCTTCTCATGGTACCCTTATCACTACGCTTTAGAGACGCTCAAGCAGGGTGTGAGGATCCAAAACCTAGAGAGAACTTGATTACGTAGTATCTCTTCCAAGCGATAGCATGGTAATCAGACCCTTGGTGTTTGAAACATGGTGAACTGGTTGTACATCGGTTAAGGTTCAACGTGTACACACCTTCATTTGATAATGCATTTCTCTCAGTTGGTTTGGTCGCAGTTAGGATCTTCTCTTCTACGAGGTCCTTCCATGAAGTTTCTTCGAATTTCTGATATTCGATTAATATTGTTCGGAACGACTAGTTTTCAAAAACCCCGTCATCAGCTAAACTTAAACTGCTGTGAATAGATTGTCAGTGTTTACAATGTTGAGTTGATGTCCTCTTCTGAATGTGAATTTAGTCAAATTTGCAAGTTACAGGCTGATGTTTTTATTTAGTTGGAGACTGGCCGCAGCAGTCTGAGTATTGCCCCGCAGTTTCCTCGTAAGTGGCATTTGAGAGTTTTGTTTCAGTTCAGGAACTCTTTTGAAATCATTTTGGTGTTGTAAGATGTGAAGTTCGTCTTTTTAGTGATGCCAATCGAGGGGAGAGTCTGCGCTTGACTTTGACAGTCTCTTGATCGTCTCTCAAGTTTATGAAAACAATGAATGCCAAGTGTTGTTAGACTTTGGCCGGCAGGCGCTTTTTAAGCTACACTCGTTTATCAGTCAATGTACAGGTGATGTTGTATGTAAGGCATGTCCTGGTTTTTGCGGCACCGCACAACAACCCTAGTTGTTCGAGCTTCTCTGCTCATGAAGTTATTATGAAATTATGTTATCTTCAATTCACTCGATCTAGTCTTAGCTTTGATAAGTATGCGACACGTGAGAGGAACTTGCCTGATTGCAAGGTTAAGACTAATGACCAACTATCTTATTTTGATTTGTTTTCTTCTTTGCTTACCTTGTTTTTGGTTCGTACTGTACAGATGTTGTCAAAGAGTTGATCGAGGGAATGGTGGAGACATACCCACACCTCACGTACCTTGATGGCTTTCCTGAGGTGAAGGCCACTACAAAGAACCTGTATTGCAGTGATTATACTTCCTTCCATCTTCACATCCTAAAAACTTTTTGCGAAAATATATTCTAGTAGATCTATTGGTAATTTGTAATGTGGCAAGCCCTGGATATGCACCTGGATCTAGTCATGTCAAATTATCAATCGGGATGCTTGTGAATTGTTGCGTATGAAATGTTCTGTTACAAGTTTCTGACTCACGTATACCTGATAATATTTAGGTTAAAGTGGTGTTGAGGTCTGACATCAAACGTGGCAGTTACAATAAAGTTGCTGTTATATCAGGTGCACTTGGACTCTTGGATTGCTTCAGTTACTAGGAACTCACAATTAGCACTTTGCTTCTACAATGTCAGATGCCCTTAGAAGGTTTTAGTATATTATGTTTGTAATTGATGTCAAGTGCAACTTGATGTTGCCTTGTAATTAGATTGCTATGCTTGGCTTTTTTCTGTTTAACTGGAGATTGCCCTAAGCTTTACTAAGTGTATAATTGCCAATTGAATGCTATTACCTTAAGGCAAGTAAGCAGTTATCTAAGCATGACCGATGTTGTGGTTCCTAACACTCAAGTTCACCGAATTTCAATAGAGGTAATTATGTCATCAGAGCCTTCCTCTGCCAACGCTGACGTGTAAATGTACAGGTGGTGGAAGTGGCCATGAGCCAGCTCATGCTGGATACGTTGGTGAGGGTATGCTTACAGCTGCCATATGTGGGGATGTATTTTCTGCTCCTTCGGTTAATGCAATTTTAGCCGTAAGACGAGCTTTTCATCTTCCAATTTTGTATGGATTTTAGTTGGCCTGTAATTTGTACATCATACACCTGTGAAGTATTAAACTCTTCGCGCAGGACTCTTTCTTTTGCCGGGGTGGTTGTGTGTATGCTTCTTAATTCTCAATACTCCCTCGGTACTTGGTAACCAAGACTAGGATTAGGATTATACTTCAAGAATTTCTAAATTGCAGCTGAGGATTTTTTCTTTGATTGTTCGCATCGTTGTTCCGGAACAAACTTATGCTCTGCTGATAGCCCCTGTGATATTTCAGGGAATTCGCGCTGTTACTGGACCTCCCGGTTGTCTGCTTATTGTGAAGGTATCGGTTCTCTGATTTCCACGACCGAGGAATGTGTCATTTTTTATTTTTATTTTCTTTTACTTTTGTTTTCATTTTCCTGAAGTAGTAGAATAATTATCTTGTTCTTATTTTGTGAAAGTTGCACTACACGTGTGATTGACAGTGATGAGATCCTCGTGATGGCTATTTCACTTGGGTGGGATTGCGAATAGTGCCTATCTACATTCTGTTGATGTCACACTGGTTTTAATGATACGGTGTTTGGATTGGCGTAAACGTATAAGTACATGCATTATCGGCGCTTGCTGCACCATTATTGTGCAGTATTAATCGGAACGTGTGTTACTTGGGTGCCAGAATTATACGGGGGACCGCCTGAAATTTGGATCTGCTGCTGAACAAGCCAAGGCAGAGGGCTTCAAAGTTGAGGTATGTGTGTGAAAAGGTTACGATGTCGAATCTCTCACTTGGCAGTATCGACTTGGTTATCTTAGAGGACCACTACTTTTTGCTAGTTCATTAACGATAGAGTCAATGTTGCATTTGACTCCAGAAAATAAACCTGAAGACAGAAGTGGTGTCGTGTGTATTCGATTTGTATATGTTTTAATATACAGATTTTGCCTTGGTATGAGTTTGTTTTGTACAGCAGCCTATTGTGCAATTGCGACTTATATTCGATAGCTTTACTGTCTTCGCGTTTTTACTCTCTTCCTCGTTAGATGGTCCTTTCGATCGTTGGTTTCATCTTGGACAGACCTTACGCTATTTGGACAATTTTTTCAGTACCTAATAAAGTGTATCATGATGTATACTTGCTTTGGTTGATGCAGATGGTGATTGTAGGGGACGACTGTGCGCTTCCACCTCCGCCCCGAGGTCCAGTTGGCCGACGAGGATTAGCTGGGACTTTATTTGCTCACAAGGTTGAGAGTTTACTTGATGATATTAAGTTTTTGTTATGTTGGGTTTCTTTCCTAATTTTACTTCCATGTTTTTGGAAGTGGAGTTCAAAGTACCTCACCTGTGGTGCGCAATTTTACTAGTTATAAGATACGTTTGATGTTTTCGAGTTTGAGATTGTTTTCATTCTAGCATGGTTCTCGACTTGAACTGTGTAATTGTGGTGCGTCTGTATTTATTATTTTGTTTGCGAGGTGTTTGATAGGTTGCTGGAGCAGCAGCGGCTGAGGGGCGCCCTCTTGCTGAAGTTACAGCAGAAGCACGCCGGGTTGCAGGGATGGTAGGAACAATGGGGGTTGCTTTGACAGTATGTACAGTTCCTGGACAGAACACTTCTGATCGACTGGGACCTGGGAAGATGGAGCTGGGTTTAGGCATTGTAAGTTTACTGTTATTATTTTTATGTCGGTATAAACGTATACTAGTAGTTGTTAGGATCGTGCTTTGTTGTGATGAAGTTTTAGTTTAAAAAAATTGTCTCTCTTCCATCTTCTTAGAGTATTTATATGTCAGATAGCCATGTAAGAAGTCTGACGTGAGAATAAGTTTTTGAAAATTTTCTCTTCAATTTTCAGACTTTACTGTATTAATTGAACTAGTTAGTGGGTCGATGTTGAAGCTAATTATTTTAAAGGTCGTATTTACGTTTGCAGCATGGTGAACCAGGAGCTTTGGTAGCTGATTTGCAGCCTGTGGACGTCGTAGTGTCTCACATCCTGAATCAAATCCTAAACAAGGTATGCTCTTATCCCTCCCTTGTCTTTTAGGACAGGCCCAGTATTGATGATATGGAGGAGTTCGAAATTTTAGAGGTCCTCCAAGTTTTTGAATAAGCCGTAGGCCAGTTTCAAGCATATTAGTCGTCATCGTCATCGTCATGGTTGATTGTTCGTTTGTTTGTTCGTTTGTTTGTTGATTCAACAACCTTCTTGTATGTGTTGATCTTAAGTCGTGCTCTGTTCAAGGTTATCAGTACGATTATTTTGGTATTTGGTGTGTATGCATCAGAATCCCCGTCTCTGATTGTGTGGATAAGTTGTGTTCAAATGATCAAGTCTTATCAAGTCTGATGTTGTCAGTAAGATATATATCTGCTCTCCATGAATACTCATTACCTGTATTGGCTAACTATTTGCAGGATACGAAATACGTGCCTATTAAACGGGGCAGTCGAGTTGCGCTTATGGTGAACAGGTATATGGTTGGGTGCAGTACTTATTTTGAAGCCCATCTTTGTTTTTTCCTATGTGTTTGCGTTGCTTTATTACATTATGAAGGAATTTTGACTACTATATTTGGTGATGATGGCATTCCTCTATGGATCCCAGAATGTGGCTGATAGATGTGGAACATCACCACTTCTTCTGAATTCACTGGATGTTGGTAGTCTAAAATAAATTGTTGCTTTCAGTCTTGGAGCAACGCCAATGATGGAGTTGATGATTGCTGCTGGAAAAGCCGTTGCCCAACTGCAAATAGAGCATGGTTTAGCAGTAGAGCGTGTTTACACGGGCTCCTTTATGACATCCCTTGACATGGCAGGTAATTATTTCACTGAGTTTTTGAGTTAATCTCAAGGTGTTGTGGGATTGACGACTAGGGTCATTGTATCATAATATTTGTGTTCGCTCCAGACCCACGAACATAGTTTAAAGTTTTGTAGTTTCATAACACTGGCATAGAAGTTGGGTCCCGTATATTTGTTAAGCCTGCTTCAAAAGTCAAATTTCTTTCACCCTATTCTGTAAATAGTTTTTGGAATAGAATTCGGATATTTTTTTTCTCAGGGACATCTGGTTGTATATGGTCCACAGGGATGTCTCTATCTGTGCTGAAGGTGGACGACCCTATTCTCAAATCACTTGACTCTGCAACTCAGGCCCCGGCATGGCCTGTTGGAGTTGGTGGTACAGTACCGAAACCAACTGCTAACTTGTCAAGCTCATCCTCCTGGTCTCGTGAAATGTGGTCATGGGCGACTCGTAGTTATGATAAGTTTCTCCATAGTACAAAGTTATCCTGATGTAAGGAAGGGTTTTCGTTTTAGACCGTTAATGTAGAGTAAGTAACAATACTGTTCGCACAGATACATACAAACTACTATCAACTGGAGTTTCTCCCATATGTAAAATAGGGATCTCCTATATAAAATCTCAGATAACAAGTGTATAGTATATCCCTGTTAGCCTCTTCGTTTCCTGAGGATTTGAGGTTTCCATCAAAGACCTGACATAATACGAGTTTCAAGTGAAGCTTATCCTTTCCTCTTCTTGATGGTGTCTTCAGGACCCCGTCCTTCGACAACATTGCCCGTTGCCCTCCCACCTGCACCAGCAAACCTCAAACCGGTACTTAGCTCAAAGAACCTCTGATGTTTTAGACGCTTGTAGGAAAGTTGAGTTGTCCTTACTGAGTTTAGGTTTACAGAGACATCTGTGTAATTTTTTTTACATAAAGAGACTCGTTTAGAGAGTAGAATTCTTTCTTATTATTCTTAAGATTGAAAGAAACATTCTTTGTTTTTCGATTCTTATTTGGTTAGGTTTATTTTATTTTATTATTTTATTTTAAAGTCTTGACAACGAGCTAATTATGAACGAAACCATGCTGTTCTGTGTGATTCCTTAATTGGCGGATATTTTGATAATTGCCACAATATACCATAAGTCTCTAGAACCTTGATCGAACAGAGTATACTTTTCGAGTGGATGGACATTCAACTTGCATGTCCAATTCGAGTTCTTGTAGTATTTTCAATCTTCCTCATCCACTAAGCACCATGCGAGGGAAAGGACGGTACAAGGATGTCATAACTGCAGTGGTAGCTTTTCTGTCTCATATAGACCTAGAAATCATCGATACATAGTTTTGAAGTATCGTCGACATGTGGACAGAGAGGGAACTCGTCAATTAGATTGTGGATGTGTAGAAATATGTCGATCTATCTCCACTTTTAAACAGGTCACTCACGAGACCTTATAGATTTGTATGCTTTAGTTCGCTGCTACGTGAATCTGAGATGTGCACTTTATTATGAAGTAGCATTCAGTTGAGAAGGATATTACAACGTTGTCCACATGAGTGCCTTGAGCAGGTTGCAGTTCGCCCTCATGAATTGAGCTCTCAAGGTCAAAAATTGGATTCTGCAATCAGAGCTGGTGCCCAAGCAGTGCTAAAACTCAAGGATTCACTGAATGAATGGGATTTAGTGGCTGGAGATGGAGATTGTGGAACGACGGTGAAAACTGCATACTTTCACCGCATGAATTGGATATGTTTAGTCTGTCTCTTCTTCTACGTTTCGGCATTCAAAGATTTAATTCAAAGATGACCACTCAATCGTCTGTGCCATACATTTTTTTAGTCCGTTAGTTGTGGGTCTGTGTGCGTGAACAGGCAATGTAACATTATGTTATTGAGATCCGTAACTAATTTCATATCCTTGAAGCGTTGTATTCAGTGGAGCGTTCAGTGCCTTTGATTGACTAACTAGGAGTAGCTTTTTATCTATGTATAGATGGCCAAGGGAGCAAGGGCAGTTCTTGAAGACTTAGATAAGCAGTAAGTGGGGTTTGTTTTTTGCGTCATTATGTTGTGCCTTGTGTTCTATTCGTAAGCGTCATTTTTGGCTCTATTTCTAAACTCCGTGCAGATCTCATTTGTCGTTATTATCTTTTTCATTAACCAGTGCAACTCTTTGTTGGTAATGCTTTTGTTTTAATTTCAGGTATCCTCTAAACGATGCTGCCGCCACTGTTCATCAGATTGGCTGCTCGATTAGAAGAGTGACAGGTGGCACAAGTGGAATATTGTAAGCAGCGTATGCCTTTTGGTTTTCAAAGTGCAACGCATTCAGCCTCTGGTTGTTGAACAAACTTGTGATTAGCAATGGAGCAGAAAGTATCTGGAATGTTTTTTCTTGTATGGGTTTGATTTTATTAAGTTCTAGTTGTCCAAAATTATCTGTATGTCGTTGAATGGTTCTTAACTTATCTCTTGGATTCAGGTACGATATATTCACCAGAGCAGCATTCGTGATCCTGAAGGAGGGTGGGAGTTCAGTTACGGCTAAGACCTGTAAGTTTTGTGCTGGCATGCATTTGTGTCAGAGGCCGGCAGTGGTTGTGCTGGGTCTGGACCCTGATTGCATTGATTCTTCAAACGTTTCATCGTCTAGATCCACTTATTGCGCTGTGGTTGGTCAATTGGAGACTTCTTGATTTTGAACTGTGGCTGTGATGAATCTCGCAAATGTGTTTCAAAGTGAAACCAGCTAGTTTGCTATTGTCGACAAATTGAACAGATGCCATCTTTGATTCAACAATTTGGTTGCTGTGAGACTCACCTGACACGTATTGTGTTTCCTGTAAACCTGTCAAATGAATAGCGAGAAAGTCGCACGTCTTTAGTTTACACTGGTTTTCTCTAATTGCCATAGACGATTATTGAATCGATTTTGCAGGGTCTGCAGCCTTTGAAACAGCCGTTGCTGCGGTAAGCAAATATGGAGGAGCGTCAGCTGGTCATCGTACGTTATTGGATGCCTTAATACCTGCTTCAGTCACTCTGCAAGAGGTAAGTGATTCTGATAATCTAGTAACTGCTATTTATCTCAACGTATCAGGATTGCTCAGTAGTTGAAGCAGGATGCATCTGCTTCATTTGAAGACGATATCCAACTAGATACATCTCACGGATACGAATTTTGGGAACAGCAAGACTGATGGGAGTCGATCTCTGCGAATTGTGCAGAAATTGGCTGCTGGAGAGGATCCATTGAAGGCATTCAGCGACGCTGCAGATGCTGCGGAAGCAGGTGCAGCAGCTACAAAGACAATGATGGCACAGGTGATTTATAATCGCCCCTTCTTCTCGTCTTTGAAGCTACAGGAATTCCGACTTGCAAGTGTTCATGAAACATTCTCACTTAAATCTGTTTTTAAATTGCAGGCTGGCCGGTCTAGTTATGTACCTGAGCACATCCTTGCAACAGTTCCAGACCCTGGAGCGATGGCAGCCGCTCAGTGGCTGAAAGCAGCTGCGAAAGCTTTACTCCCCTCTCCATAGTACCACCACTTTTTGTCTTGGTCATAGAGGATGGTTGCTGTGTGGTTCCACCCTTTCTTTCATTGATGCTATAATTTTTTTGACTGGACGTTTATCCACGACCCAGCACCCTGAATGACCTTTCTTGGAGGATTCTTCAGCATCATAGTTGGAGAAATGTAGGTCACTCTAATGTCTGGTTTCGATCAGGCTTTCCCTGTCTTTGACAGGTGAGAATAACATTTATGGTAAAGGTCAAGCGAGGAGGTGGTTTAGGCTTTCGTTCTCTAACATTCTTGTTTCCCATGTTTCCCTTGCAAATATATGTTGTCGCTTCTGAGCTTCAAAAAACACTTTAGCACAGTTGAAGTCACTGTTGGGTCAGGTTTTCCTGAATCACTACAAATGCTTTTTGATACCGCCCAGAGATCGTCAGAGTTTTATGCAAAAATTAACCACATCAAGGAAAAAATCCGGGATAAAGAAAGGGGGTTAATCCAAGTATTCTTTGAGCTTTGTAGATTTATTAATGAACCTTACAGTTAACCGTAGAGATCATGATAGTGTTGGTGCAACCTGTGTGGCATTTCAATGGGATTTTGGTGTAGATTCTTTTGTTAAGAGTCTCCTTTTTGTTTCATTGTTGGCAGCTTGGTGGTACCAACGATGCTGGTCTTTGGTTTCTAGGTATATTATTCATTATTTGTCTCCTTAAAAATACAAACTACATCCATTACTTTCACAATCTCAACTCCTGTTATTATTTTACCCTCTCAACTCCTGTTATTATTTTACCCTCTCAACTCCTGTTATTATTTGTCTTACGAAGGTCTATGCTACACTTGCTTTCAGAAGCTTAAGAAATTTGTTTTGTAACACAATGACTTAGAAATATCTTCACCTAGTCCCACATTAATTTTGATACGTATACAGGATGTGGTTTAGGGTATAGGTTGAATCGCTCATTTGGGGATACTCGGTCGTCGAAACCTCCACAAACTAGACCTTACAGCATTTCTCGAATTGCGCAAATCATCTCGCTTGGCGGTCTACATCTTGGCCAACTTATGGCAGATTATCGCTTGAAGGTTTGAGCTGTCTGCAAAGAAAGAATATTTCCCACTATGGTTACTTGAGAGAAACGCTATGCCGACCTCATCGGGACCTAAACGGCGGTCTTTGGCCGCAGCCTTCGCTGCTATCTAGAATTCTTCGAAAGGTGACGGATTCAATACTGAATTTATTGCGACAGAGTTTGCTAGAGGTTTCAGGTTGAGAATCTCCCCTCCCTTCTGCCAAACTTGAGGCCCAGGCTATGCGTCAGAAATGGCATCATCCTCGTTCTTTCGGAGGCAGGTGATGGTTCATGTCTTGGGTCTCTACCGGCAGACTTGAAGTCTTCAGCCTATTGTTTGATTCAAGCCGGTCGACTAGAATATGATCTCTGCAAACTGAATGTTTACGCTCCTAAAAATCAGTGTGGGCGCAGAGACATTTGCATTGTCACTACCTGTTCCTTGCTCCGCCCTAGTGGGTGGATCATTTCCGGTGGGTTTTACATGGTGAATTCTTGCGTGGACAGAAGGCCAGTTCAAAGGCTAAGGCTTTTATAACAATATTTGTCTTAGTTAACACTAAAATGGGTTCGATCGGCAGCGTTGCATCTCGCTCCTCGTTGCGTAACGTCTTCGTCTAAATCAGTCTGCAAATTCTTGACATTACTTAAGCAAGCGGAGTGAGGTTGGTGGCCTGTGTCTGTACGGCGCTCGTGAAGTAATGTGAATTTACTCGTTCGCTCTGCCTGCCTGATTCAAGCACCTCCTTAAGTTTTTTTCTTTCAGTAGAGCTACGTAATCCTTACGTGGAAGCAGTTCCGGAGAAGATGGACCCACCGCTTACGGTTCTAGCATTTGTTATTGTTTATTTCCTTATTTGTCTTGCACCTAAACATCAACTCACATGACTGTGCTCTAGCGAGTCTCAGGTTTTAACTGTGCATTTCATTGCAGAGCACTGTAGGCTTCCAACTCCGTGAGCAAATCAGGTACCCACGTCAGAAAAACAGGTGAAACAATCAAGGATGACTGGCAAATGTAGTGGAGTTCCACTCCACAGCTTCTTCAATCTAATGCGACCCTTTCTCCTCCTTTCTCACCCCATACCAACCCAATGCAACAGAGGCTGTATATTTGTATATGTATATATATATATATATATATATATATAAGGACTGAAGAAGTCTTCCCTATACCAACATATATTTATATATTTAGAGAAAAGGACCAGAGAAATCTCACCCCATACCAACCCAGTACAACAGAGGTTGTATATTTGTGTGTGTGTATCTATATATATATATATATATAGATGTACTAGAGAAGGCAAGCTCCAAAGTACAGGAACATGGGTTGTGGAAATGGCAGCAAATGGCAGCAAAGTGCCACAACACCTTTTGGCTTCCAGTGTAGGATTTCAGAGGTTGTTAGGAAATGGCAGAGGGGCCCTCCCTTGGTCTCATAACTTTGCTTCGCACCAGGTGGTTGCAGAATAATAACAACAACAAGCATTTGGTAGTTTTTGTATAGAGGGCAAATTATTTATCATATATTTGTGTGTGTGGGTGGCCTGGACTTGGGCAGAATAGACCAAGTGGCAAAACATCCTTTGTGTTGATTTTTTTTTGACTTTGTTCAGGATGGGAAATAATTGGGAGGCATCCATTGAAAAAGAATCAACAATGGCTAAAATATTGTCCAAGTCCCTGTTTAGTGGCACTCTTGGAAGGAGTTTAGTGAACAACATAAATGGAAGGGTGAAAGTGGAAAGCAAGAGGGCAGTGTTTACAATATCCTTATTTTCATTTTCTGGAATCTTCTAGGTTTTGGCGCTGATTGAGGTGTGTGTGTGTTATTGCTGCTGATTCTGCCTGCAAACAGGCCTCTCTTGGTTACTCAGTTGTACAACTCCCCAATACAAAAATGCATCTCCTGGATTAGGTCTCCACCTACACCCTCTCAGCAAAAGGCAACAGATATGCTCATTGCAATTCTTTACAAAAATGTGTGAGTATGTGAGTTTTGGGATTCATTTGGGAAGAGACAATGGGGGCAGAGAACATGTCAGAAAACCTTGAACTCAATCAACCTAACCTTTTAGTTTGTTGCAGTGGCATTAGAACTGTGTATAGAGCCTGTTGCTGCTGCTGTTACAAGGGGAAATGAATAAACTAGGATGCTGATCTCACATGACCCAAGGAGGGCCTTCAGAAACTGAATCTGAGCTTGTCCATGTGCAAATGGCTCTCCAAATAATGACTAAAGGGGAAGGGGCACACATCCCAGCAGCCAACAGTAGCAGCAATAACAAGGCAGAGCATCCACAGACACACACAGACACACAGACAGTTACACAGGCAGAGTCTTCCTCCCTCTCTGGCTGCAATGGTGCCTGCTACTGGCCTCCTCAAAATTAGTTAATGAATGACATGGGACACGATGATGCTCCGGAGAGGTCTGCCGCATAGAGGGAGAAGAGTTGAGAGTAGTTGCAGTGCATGCATCCATGTTTATAGGAAAGCTACTGTTCAATCACAAGTAGAGAGAAGGGCAAATAGAGCCCAATTCAACCCTTACTGTCTTTATGTTTACCGTCGCCAAAGGATCACTGTGGTGGAATAGTGGTGTGCTTAGGATTTGTACTCAAGTAAAGGTGGGTTGATCCCACAATTGTCGCGTTGCGAGGACATGCAATTAGTATTTGAGATGACGACATATTCAGAGGTACTCAAGGCCAAGCTGGCCCATGTACCACTGGCCCCAATTGTTTCAAAGGAAGGTCGGATGGTGGAGAATGCTAGGAGGACAGATAGGATGGAGCTGGAGTTGATTGCCTCCACAACAAACTTGGATAAGTTTGCTGCCATCAACTTAAGTTGTACAATATGATGTGAGAAGTTACTTGAAGGATTAGTTGGGAATTGTACTAGCCTTTTGTCGAATACACAAGTGGTAGAGGTCTGACTAGATGAAGAAAAAATAAAAAAAGAGATGGAATTTCTACAAAAATACGTAATCATAGCATACTTCATGAGAAGCAAATTCCTGAAAAAAGATCCTACAAGCTTGATTAAGGTGCCTAAAAATCGAGATATATAAGGAACTACATCTTGGAGGTGACTTTGATTATGGCTTCTTTCAGGTGGTATGCTCAGATGAAGTAGATTTTCAAAAAGTCTTGATGCATACTTTGCACCTTTCACAATGGAGGACTTGTATGATCTAGCTATGGTTGGTGGAATTTAATTCAAGTTGCCAAGTTGGCATGAAAATGCTAATATGGGTTATTTTAAAAGCACTACCTGATGAATTTGCGAGTAGGATACGTAACATAGCTTAGAGCCTCTAGTCAATGTTTGGGAGGAATTTAAGCAACAAAAAATAGGTAGATCACACATTTTGTGTTGCATTGATCAATGGAAGCATATACACCTTCATCATAGGAGCTCTCAACTCGATGACAAGAACCATGATTCATATTCAGGTGGATTATAACAATCTATCATTTAGATATAGTTTTTGTTTATCTACTTTGCACTTGATAAGGGAATATCTCTCATTATTTAGTCATTGTCGACTTAATCATGTTGTTGAGGAAATACAAGTAAAGTCCAAAGTCAATCAAATCACCTTGTAAGGGGATATAAACCTAATATGGAATGAAAACTTAGTGGCCTCAATGGCCTCAATGTTTCTTTCTTCTTCGCTCAAACAAAAGGTAATAATATCATTGTGACAAATACCAATAACATAATGAGTGGCTAATTCCAACAAATCAAAAAGGTGTAGAGATTCAAACATTCATAAAAAAACCACACTAAGAATGATAGAGTAAACATTGTAAATCCACATCAACAAAGTCTCAATTGGATCACTTGGCTTTATTAGAAATAACATTGTAGACAAGAATCTTTACCCAATACAACTAAATTTTTTAGTATCAATGAATTAAATGAAGTCCATAATGATTTGATAAGTCATTTATAAATAAGGTATTCAACTTCAAAGTAAATCTAGAGAAGCATGTGAGAGGAACTTGTCAATTGGTTTTGGCACCTCTATAAGGACCAAGAAAAGGACAAATTGGAATAGAGATCATAGATAACATGCTTAAGAGTGTTTTAGTGCCATTAAAGATTGCCAAAAAGAGTATTAGCCACAAAATAATATTAATTGATTATACAAGTATAGAAGCAAATAGAGATCTTGATTTTGATTATCATGTCATCTTGATTCAAATGGAATGAATGGATGGAAACATTGGTTTGGAAGAGGTGGAAGTAGAGCATGTGGCTATAAGTATGATATAGGACATAATAGGTAGTTGGCTAATCAAAATAATGAGGCTCTA